TATCTCATCTATAAACATGTATGTTATTGAGATGTGGAAAATCTTTGTAACGCAGGAGTTGATAGCTTTGACTTTATACAAATTTTAAGCCTCTGCAGGTTAGAAATATCACAAAATTTAAATGACAAATAATAAACCACAAAATATTTGAAATGTCTTTGGCAAAAATAGGTTAACATATATAATAGATTGATATATTAATATATAAAGAGCTCTTATAAACTAAAAAAAAAAAATCTCACTAGGAAAAAATAGACTAAGGACTGGAACAAGTAATCCATAAGAAGAAATACAAACAATCAAAAAGCATATAAAAAGAAAACAGGCTTACTAAAGTCAAGAAAATACAAATGGAAACAACAATTCATTATATTCTCCAATAGATTTGCTGAGATTAAAACCAAAGGCAATGTCCCAGATCAGGGTGGGAGCAGCTATGCTTTCTCACAAACTACTAGAAAGTCTATAAATTGTTACATTCTTTCTGGCATTATGTATCAAAAGCTTTAAATGTGTTATTACCCTTTAAACTAATAAATCCACACGTAAAAATTTGTCCTAAGGAAACAATCATAGATCTAACAGTTACACTGAAGAACATTCAGGACAACATCATTTATGATAATAAACAACTGGAAACAAGATAAATACCAAGGAAAGGGATTGTCTAAATACATTTTTGAATGTTAATAATATGGGACTGTCTATACCTATCTCAAATTATGGTTTTGAAAGAATGAAAGATTATGAAAAAATGTTCTTAACATATGCTGGAATATAAAAAACTGCTTATAAAAATTATGTAAAATAGAATTTTAAGAAAAACAAAAAAGTAGCCTTACGTAGTATATGCAGCTTTTTTCTTCTTTCACATCTTCTCCAAGACAGAACTCAGCTCAGCTCAACCAGAAATACAAACATTAAAAATTAATGATGACAATGATTCCTTAATAAAAAAAAAAGAATGGCATGTCATTTAGTGATTTTTTTCTAGAATAATTTTTGCTTTCATAATCACAGTGAATCAGTGTTTGTTTTTTATCTCATAATCATAAGATATTATTTAAAAATGATTTTGGAACATAGATCTAAATGTAAAAGAGAAAACTACAAAAATTCTAGAATAAAACATAGGATCAAATCTTTGAGCCTTTGAGGCAGGCAAAGATTTCTTAGGACATAAAAAGCTCAAACCATAAAAGAAAAAAAAAAGACAATTGCAACTTAACTAAATATAAAATATTTACTCTTTAAAAGATACCATTAAGAATTGAAAAGACAAGCCAAATGAAAGAAAATATTTGCAATACATGCATTTAGCAAAGAAATTACACCTAGAAAATATGAGAACTGTCATAACTCAATAATAAGATAACCTGATATTGGAAATAGGTAAAAGATTCGAACACACACTTAACAAAAGAAAATCTACAAATTGATAATAAGTACATGAAATGATAGTTAAAATCATTCATTATAAGGAAAATGCAAATTAAAACCATAATGATATACCACTATAAACCCACTAGAATGGTTGATATTTAAAAGACTGATAATACTAAATGTTGGCAAGGACATGGAACAATCAGAACTGTCATATATTGCTGTGAGAATATAAAATGATGCCACTACTTTGGAAAACCAGTTTCTTAAAAAGTGAAACTTATACCTGCCATACCACCAGCCATTCTACTCCTAGGTATTTACCCAAAAGAAATGAAAATACATGTCCATACAACCTATGGTGCACAATTGTCATGGAAGTTTATTTGAAATAGCCCCAAATTTAGAAAGAATCAGTATGTCCATTAACAGATGAATAAACAAATAGTGGCATAACCATATAATCAAAGATTACTTAGCAATAAAAATGAATGAATTACTCATACACACACCCATATGGATGAATCTCACAGTGATTATACTAAATGAAAGAAGCCAAATACAAAAGAGGTACTGTATGACTACATCTATATAAGATGCTGTGGAACGCAAACCAGTCTATAGTGGCAAAACCGGATCAGTATCTGGCTGGCCAGGTGGGAGGGATGCATGGACAAAGGACACAAGGTAATTTGGGGGAATTATGAAAATGTTCCATATCTTGATAGTGGTGGTAGTTTCATGCATACTTGTATTTGTCAAAACCCATTGATTATACATTTTAAATGGATATAGTTAATAATATATAAATTATATATTAATGAAAGTAATAAAAATTATTTTCTTCCCATGCTTCTTGCTGGATGAGATCTACCTGATCTTGATTACTCCTTTGCTTATTGTCTCTTCTCGTATTTAATATTATATTGTCATAATAAACTTAGGGACACAATTATAATTGCTTGTGTGAGAGAGAGAGAGAGAGAGAGAGAGAACAGAGGAAGAAGAGATTGAAGTTTTCATAATGCTAGAGGATATTTGGTGGCAAGAAGTTCCAGAGACATGGAATCCAGAATAAAGATGGAGGGTAAGAGACTTGGAGAGGAGTCAGGATAGGACACTGGGAAATTTGAGGTGGACACATGACAGTCTGAAGTAGCCATGTCTGATGTCCCACAGGTGTCCCACAAACATGAAATGGCATCTACTGAGAGAGGGTTGTGGATGGGCTGGTAGTGAAGGAGAGGGGGTGTATTATACAAATCAACAAGAGATGAATAAGGATTCAACTGAGACAGGTGAGGGTCAAGGGATGGGTGCAAAGTTCCTGGATGAGAGGAACCCTCTCTGTGTTCGCAGGGATTTCAGGCCTTGTGTTCTGTGATGAGCGTGAAGGACAGCATGCTGCTGACATTTCATTTTCATCCCTACCTCAATCCCTCATCCAAACCCTTACAAATATCTGGCAGCTGTCTAGACTTTCACTGTGGAGACAAATGGGGGTGCTTATGCCCTGATTACTGATAGGTCTCTGGTTTTCTTAAGCACCTCCAACTATGGTCTCTCTCCAGCTGGCAGAGTCATGGCAGTCACGATGTCGATCTGTCTCCAACAAGCAGGATCCCCAGTCTTCCCTTGCTAAAAGAATAACATTGCTTTGCATATAATCTGTGCGTTATAAATTCTTTGCTTTTTGCTGGCATGGTGAAAATGTAGTCCTGCCTAGGAGAAGCCTATGTGTCTACTAAGTGGGCTGTGAGGTTGGAACAGTTGCTGAGATCTATGCCAAATAAATTTTATTATAATGACTTTGGTCTGTATCATCAGTCTTAGATAATTGTACTGCAGCCGACATGACTTTCTTCCAGAGGCAGACTGTTAGAATGCATGACATAACAATGCCATGATTAATCTGACCTAGCCTTCACTGGAGGGTCAAGAGGTACAAATTCACAGGCGCCTATCGCTACTGTAAAATGATAACATCAGCACAGCATTTGGGGGTGGTGAGGCATCAGTCCTGAAAGATGTTGTTAAAAATAATGCCCAATGAAAACAAACACTTGGATCTTTGGACCCCTATAAAGAGGGCAATTAACACATTATAAATGGGCTATACTTCTGATACTTTAATTTGGGGTTTCAGAATTTAAAGTTGGGTCACCAATACTTATCATTACATTATTATTAAGACTAAAGAAAGATTCCCTTCCCTCCTTACTCTTACTTCTATTTTTTAAAACTAGCAGAAAATTTATATATGATATTGCTGAATGACACTTTCCAAATGTTAGTAACTGACCTCTGTGTGATCAGTTGTGTACTTGATGAACCTTAATTGTGAAGATTTTTTGAGATTTGTTTTTGATCATGGTTGTAGACATTTTAAAAAAGAAAATGGTTTCAGGAGAGAATAATTAGCAAGTGAATTCATTAAGGTCTGCTCATATTTTTATTTTTGAGGCATTTATTTGTCTTAATGAAAATATTCTATTTTTATCCAAGATCTGAGGGCCCACAAGGGGTACTAAGGCAGTCACGTAGGGACACAATTATTAGTTGGGAGAGCAAGGAGTCCTACAGAACTGGCTCCTTTTTAAAAAAAAAAACAAAGAATAAGACTGAAAATTCCAAAATACTAGGGATTACTAGTTGGAGAGAAATATTCTGAGAGTCCCTGTCTGGGATCCAGAATACACAGGGAGGATTTGGGCCTGAAAAGCTCTGTCCTGAGGGTTTCACACGCATTCTATTTAATGCTCACAACAACTCTATGAATTAGGTATTATGATTGTCCCTATTTTTTCAGATAAGAAAACTGAGGCACAGAGAGATTAAGTAATATGCACATATTCACAGAACTAATAAGAGAGGGAACAAAGATTTTCACACCTACAGTGTGGCCCAAAATTCTTGTAGGTGTGTTATGATTAGGTTATATAAAAAGTAACTAACATTGTGCCCTCATATCATAGATGCTTAATAGGTGCCCCAAAATGTTACATAGTATTAATTTATTTGGAGTTCATTGTAAGACAAAGTCAGCTTGTGTCTACAGATTTTAAGGCCTCAAACCAATAGCAAATGATAACCCTGAAACACAGTATAAACAGGAAATTAGCAATAAGCTCTTTGCCCTTCCTTGCCATAGTCCTGTGATTGAAGTAGGATCCTCGCTGTGTGCACCAATTACCTGGTGTGTGTGGTGAATGCCACACAGGGGAGGGCAAAGAGGAGACTGCTACCATCAATCACATATAAGAGGGACTCTTATATGTGTTCTTTGGTTTAAATCCATCAGTGAAACTAGTAACTTTGGAGGGGAAGTGGGGAGATTCAAAGTTGTTAGGCAACACATTAAAAAAAAAAACTTAATCACTCAGCTGATGGCCTCCAGTCAATGCTTGGAAAATTAAGAAAGAACTCTAACTGGTTACTTATTTCTTTGCAGATGCTAAACCCCTAGCTATTTTGTTAAAGGAGTCTAATATAAGGATAAACACTGAGGCTTGGCCCATTAATTTTCCTGTTTCCTTTTTCATGGGATAGTGGAGGGGTTGGTGTGTGCAGGTCGGTAAGGTGCACACCTGACTTCATACTTTTTTTTTTTTCCCAAGGTGCCTCTTGCTGGACTAATCTCTAAAGAACTGTACTTAATGAAATATTGAGGAATTCAACAAACATGTATCCTCCCTTCACATACTATTGAGAATTTTTTTAAAAAGCCATTCTCCTATTTGAATTTGATGCTTTATATGTCATCATTAAAGAAGGTCTATGATAGTTAAGCAGATTTTCATTTTTTCTTTTTTCTTTTTAACATTTTTATCTCTTGCTTGTAACTTTGAGAAGACCGTATCAGGGTTTGCATAGTTAATAAAAGCAAACTAAAGCAAATAATCACCTTCTAGTACTTCTTTCAGCATATTCTAATTTTTTAATGGAGAAAATGCATTCTTAAATTAAATATGCATAATAAGGAATACTAATAATAAGAATAAAGTGGAATATGTGAGAATGAATCTAGTGTTGTAAGCAAAATGCATTTGATTTTCTAAGGATAAAAGCTGGCTTGAATCGGTAAGAATCTGTGCAAAAAAAGAAAAGCCTCATAATGTTCATAAATTGTCCATAATTGTATGGATTTTAAATATAAAAGTTGGCAGTGGCAAAAGCTAAAAGCCATTAGGAGAGATACTATTGTGCAATACAGTAAGAGCAGTAAGTCACAGTCGTATGAAAAAAACAACCTAGCTAGAGTTTTCTAAAATTTTGATAGCCATACTTGAGACTTATCTTGATGTTTACTATAATGCATGCATTGTTCAGCATGGCATGGCCTAATGCATATATGAATCATATTTGAAAAGAGCTACTAATTAACATGAATAGTCTTCTTCTGTGAAGGTCGTTTATTGCAAAGTTCTTTTTTTTTTCTGTTTTTTCTTCCTAGCTGAATATAGCTAAAGGAGTCCTCAACAACAGCCATTAGTTTAAGAGACTAGTCAGTTTTCTCCCTGACATTGGGTTATAATTTTAAAGACTCGTTTTCTTCTGCCAAGAAGCCATAAAAATAATATTTAAAAGCACTAGAGAGACAAGACAAGAAGAAACCATTTTTCTCTTATGAGCAGTGCATCCATTCATTTTTATTCTTTCATTAACTTCTTATTATAGTATTTAAGAATTATTTAGCTCAATTGTTAGAGTTTATTTCAAAAAGGATTGATCAAGAGTTTTTCTTTGAAAACTGGTTGGCTAATATTTCTCTAGGATTCACCAGGATGGTCTCTGAAATACTTTCCATAAAAGTAAAAGCCCTTTGAGACTTCTTTCTACTATTCTGCACTGGAAGAACTTCTAGAACCTTCCACTATTTCAATGTGGGGTCCAGTAGGCTTTTCAGCTTGGATGTTTCAAGGTACTTAGCTGAAATGATGGGATTCCTAAGGGTTGTTGGGAAGCAGTGTCAGCCTATGCTGAGGATGTCTCTTAGCTAAATGCCTTCAGTTGGAGCTTTGTCTCCATTTGTGACCAACAATTTTATGTGTTAACTTGACTAGGTTATGGTGCCCAGCTGTTTGGTCAAACTTCAGTCTCAATGTTGCTGTGAAGATGTTTTTTAGATGAGATTAACATTAAAATTAATAGAATTTGAGTAAAGCAGATTACCCTCAATAATGTGTGTGGACTTCATCCAGTCAGTTGATGGCCTTAAGAGCTAAAACTGAGGTTTCCCAAAGAAAAGAAATTCTGCCTCAAGACTGCAGTGTGGAAACACTGTTTGGATTTCAGACCTGCAGACCTTGGACTCAGCATTGCAATACCACCTCCTCGCTGAATTTCCTACCTGACAGCCTGCTGTTACAGATTTGCCAGCCCCCAAAATCTTGTGACCAGTTCCTTAAAATAAATAATCTTTTTATGTCTCTATTATCTATCTATCTATCTATCTATCTATCTATCTATCTATCTATCTATCTATCTATCTATCATCTATCTATCATCTATCATCTATCTATCTATCATCTATCTATCATCTATCAATCTATCATCCATCTATCTATATCTATCTATCATCTATCTATCATCTATCATCTATCTATCTATCATCCATCTATCTATATCTATCTATCATCTATCTATCTATCATCTATCTATCTATCCTCTATCATCCATCTATCTATATCTATCTATCTATCTCTGTCCTTTTGCTTCTGTTTCTCTGGAGAACCCTGACTAGTCCAATACACCATTTAAGTAAAACTCTTACTAAGTTTATAGTATAAAACATGCTCTCATAACCACTTGGCCTCTAAAAGAGAACTGGATTTGGGGCCAGGTTTGCATGATGCCACAAAGTGATAAAAGAGTCAATCACTTTGTGATTTTGCCTACGTGATACAAGAAAACCTATTTGACACACACACATTATTTTTACTGGTCTGTCTGGTTAGGATAAGTCCTTGAGAGTTTGTTAATTGTGTGCACTTTCTTATGGCTGAAAACTCAAAGGTTTAGTTGCTAGTGTTGGAATTTGATTAATCATCCCAGTGAGGCTTGGCTTTCAAAAAATCAAGTAGCCCTTCTCATATGTTTGTAATATATACTTTTTTTTTGTATTGAGAACCATGTAAATGTTTTAAAAGTAAAAATTAAAGATATCTAATAATCCCTTTAGCTTGAACACCTTATCCCAACTATTTCACATTACTAGTTAGCCAAAGAAAGGGGCACAAGTGTGTGGGTAGAGGGGATGGAACCCCTCAGATGTCATCTTTCTCATATTCCTGAAACCCACATTCGTGGAGTCAAAGTACAAGATCAATATGTTTATCAATGGTTCATCATGTACAAGCATCTTATTCAGTTCAGCTGTCATAAAAGAAAAACCATAGAAAGTTGGGCTTAAACAACAGAAATTTATTTTTTCACAGTTCTGAGGGCGGGTGAGTCCAAGATCAAGGTCCAGCAGGTTAAGTTTCTTTTGAGGGCTCTCTTTCTGGCTTATAGACGGCCACCTTGTTCTGTCCTCACATCGCCTTTCTTCGGTGCCCGTGTGTGGAGGGGAGACCCATCCTTATCACCTCATTCCACCTTAATTACCTCCTAAAGACCCTAAAGCCACAATGTGACCCTAAGTCACACTGGGCTTCCACATGTGAATTTTTGTGGGGAGACACAATGCAGACCATAGCAAAGAGGCCCTCGGTATTGCACTCAGGATATTTATTTGTTGGGCACTGTCTCCCCTGGACATTGCAGTGTTGTGAGGGCATCGGGCACATGTACAAATGTCTGTACAACATGAGGCAGAATGTGATGAATGCTAGAAGCAAGGACTATAAAAGATGAAGCAGTCACGTTCAGCTGCGTGATCAGGGGAGGCTCCTGAAGTGCGAGCCTTTGCCTTCAGCACTGAAGGAAGTGGGAGTTTCATCCCTGAGAGGGTAAAGCAGGGTTTGTGCAAGATTGAAGTAAGAAGCAGGAGAGGAACCTGAGGATGACAGTGGTGAGGAAGACAGGCTGGCCTAAATTGTCCGGAGCTCACAGTGTGTAGCAGGAACTGTGTAAGAAGGACAGACTGAGGTCAGAAAATGCAGGGACTGAAATTCCAGGGACTTGCTGGGAAGGCATTGGTGAGTCACTGAAAATTTTTGCTAGGGAGGTGCTGGTTATTTTATAAACTTCCTTTCACGGCTACTGAACACAGTCCCTCATACATCTTTCCAGGAAAAGTCTGATTTTATCATTAAGAAACCGAGTCCTTCAAAATTGGAACATCCCCTCTCCAAATGGAACTTTGCCTTTGCGCAGAAACCTGTCCATGAGGGATAAACCTGATGGGGGTTGAGAGGCAGGCAGGGGAAGGAAGTGAAGAGGCTCGGAATGAAGGCTTTTCCTCAAATGAACAGCAGCAAGGATATTGCCATGTGTTTTCCTGTTTAGGAAGCTTAATTCTTCATGGTTTGCTTGCCTGTCAGAACGCTTCGTGTTTTTATTTGTGAACATACATGGTGATCATCTTTAAGACAAAAAAATCTGACGGCAGGTCCCTCCAGGCCCTTGTTCAGAGCAGATGTTGCAGTCAGACCTGGGCTTTCCATTCTCCCCTCCGAGATGTTGTAAATTGCATTGAGAAGCAACTTTCTCACAGTCTCATGTTTCACATCTAACTTACTAAGGTGATTTCGGAGGAAAGAAGTTGAAACAGACATACTTAATGGATTTGTAGATCATTGAGACAACGCTGTCATCGGCATTGATGCAATTACTCGCAGCCCAGGTGACAATCAAAACAAACTCAACAGGGGAATCAAAAAGAAAGATACACACACTCAGCCCTGCAATGTGGAACGGCTTTGTGGACCTATCCTCTCCGGAAACATGTGAACATGACTTTTCGTGTTGGAGAACCACAGACAAGCGATGAAAGTGCAGAGAGACAGCTCAAAGGCATTGTCTTCACTTAGAAAACATAAGGGCTCAAGATTAAGGATCCTCGACTGAGGAAGGAAGTTTTCCTCTCAGTGGGCAATGAAGTTCTCTTGTCTCACTTCCCATCAAGGCAGGCACTTCTCTCCAGTCTCCCTGATGTGGGGCCACCTCACGTCTCCCTGACCTCCTCCTCAGGCTGAGGTTAGTACATTACAACTTGTTGTCTGGGCTCTGTTGGACATAACCTAAGTCCGGATGGCAGGGTGAAAATTGGATAAACAGCCACACTGACTCCAGGGAGATTTTTTTTCATGCAGACATCTGTTTCTGGAATTTGGCTACAGTAAAGCCTAAGAGAAGGGGGAATTTCGATTGATGAAATAAGATCAAGAGATGCTACATCTTTTTCTTTTTTCTTTTTCTTCTATTTCCGAGTGTATAAAGTCTATCTCCTTCCAGGAGTAGAGGGCGGCAACCCCTTTCCAAGTCTCCCCTGACACTGGGTTTATGCCCAGTTCTACTTGAGATGAGGTCACGTGGCTGCTTTTCCCGGGGCTTTGCTGCGCTACAGATGTAACCTGCAAGGGTTTCCATGCGCGCATATAAAAATATGAACTTCGAGTAAAGATGAGTAGAGCAATCAACATGTATTTATTATGCATTCCCTATGTGCCCCGCACTGGGTGATATGGTTAGGTAGGAAAATAGATATGAGTGGGGTGGAAAGACAATAAGGCCAGGAAAAAGCCCACTAAAAAAAGACCCAGAGTTAATCAGTTAAAGCTCAAAAAACCAGGAGTAACTTGGCCTGGAATGTTTGAATATTCGCCAGATAAAGGAGAGCACCTCA